AAGTGCGAGTCGTAAGATGGACAGTTGACGATTGGTTACCTCCCAGGATAGCTGTTTCGTCACGAGCGGTCTGGAGGTTCTTCTTGGCCAGTTCTAGATCAAGATTGAGGTTGATTTGCTTCTTGTTCCGTTCAGAAAGTTGAGCCCCAAGATCATAAGGTTTCTGTAGTCAGCGTATAAGACATATCAGTTGACAAAAACAAAAGATAATCACAATGAAAGTGGCTCTAAGACTACTGCTGAATCAAACATTCAACGGTAGTCTCAGGGACTACACCCAGTGGGTGCACTTAGCGTGCCCCCACTGGTTTGATTCAACACTCGGCATGGTCTGCCCAGCGCGAGTCGTAAAAAAAGGGAAACACTCGACTCAATCCAAGTCGAATCAAGTGGAAGACCTATACAACTTTAAGACAGACAGACACACCCCAGTGGGTGATTTGATGAGAAATAAGTTCAGTCGGAAATCAACTAACCTGGATATTGGTTTGCAGAGCAGCGCTGACGTTGTAAGCCACCTGTCTGGCCTTGTGCACCACTTTCATTTGCTCCATCACAAGATTCAGCTAAAGAAGAGCTTCCTTGGCAGCACTCGACGGGTCGTCTGGAGTTTGGTACGCAGTAAAAAGCGGCGATGGCAGGGCAGTCGAAGCAGCCACTGGGTCTGATGCGTGGAGTTGTACTGGAGCAGCAGAGTCTAAGCAGCCGACCCTGATGGGCGATCAGTCGACAGCGGGTTAGCGAAAATGACGTTGGTCCGAGCCGGGTCTGTGGATCGCTCGACCACCGTCCCAGGCATCAGTGTCGACTGAGGAACCTGAACCTCAGGCGCTTTCCCGTTTGGTCCCTTGTCCCTCCTCCTCCTTTCCCTCAGAGGCACTTCTTCTTCATCATCCGGAAGCACGACAACGTCTCGTAGAGCTACAACAAACAGGAAACATCAGGGATTCAACCGACGAATAATCCAATCGACAGAATAAATTCGAGTCGAGCGGACTTACTAGCTTTAGAGGTAGCCGCGTCACTGGTTTCCTCATTGTATGGGATCTTGTCAATGTCCATATCAGTCGCGGCGGAGACTGGGCTGGAAAAGTTTACAATCCATTCGGTCAGAATAGAAGAATCAGTCGGTGCAAGAAAACACGGAAAGAACATTTACCCAGAAGCAAGAGGAACATCCATCTTAATCTTAGGCAAGGTCTTCCAAGCCTTTGAGGGGTTGATCTTGGGCTGCTTGGCGATTTTCTCCGTCAGCTCCGGAGTTGAAGACCGAGCACGCTTCTGCGTTTAAGCGCTCGAGGCCATAGTCTTGCTGCGCCTGCTCGCTGGATCATGGTGCTGCTTGGATCAACGTTCCGTACGAGACGGTGAGTCGACTACCTCCTCGTCGTCTGACTCGTCGCTCTCGTCTTCGTCATCGTCGTCCGGCGACTCCCAATCACCACTCTCCTCTGTGCTGTCCTCACCCTCATGATCCTGCTCCAGAGCTTGTTCACCATTGGGCATCGAGTACATCTTGGTATAAACCTACAAGACAAGAAGTTGAGTGGAAATCAGTCGGATTCAAAAATAGTCAGAAAATGTACCCAAATGCAATCGGTTGTAGAGGCCGAACCTTGTCTGGCTGATTACTGCCGCTGAAGGGATTGACTCTCCTGGCGCCCCTGGGGTTGTCCTTGTTTCCTGTAATACTCCTCAGCCATTGGGCCACTGTTTTGGCCGGCACCTCCTCTGGATGAACCCGAGCGGTGTCGCCGGCTCCAGAATACATCCACATAGAGTGGTCATGAGTCTGGAGCGGTTGGATGCGCCGACTAAGGAATACCTCCAACAAATCCATGCCGGTGACACCTTGGTTGATCAACTGGACCACCCTCTCAACCAGCATGGCTGTCTCCACCTTCTTCGCGGCGGTCACTTTTAGTGAGGAAGGGGTCTGAACACGATCGAAGGAAAAAGGAGGAAGTCCAGTCGGCTGGCCTGGGGTCATGACATCCTGGCAGTAGAACCAGGTCGACTGCCAGCCTCTGACCGACTCATGAAGGGTCATTGAAGGGAAAGAACTCCTCTTCCTCTTCTGGATACCCAAACCCCCACACATCTGGATAACGTGTGTTTTCTCATCACTCGAATTTGCTTTCTTCACCGACTGGGAGTGGATAGTGAAAATGTTTTTGAAAAGACCCCAGTGCGGTCGACACCCGAAGAAATTCTCGCACATGGACACGAATGCGGCAAGATATGTGATGATGTTGGGCCCCGAAGAAATTCAAGAAACCCCGGAAAAAGGCTGTGGAGGAAGCGAGAAACCACGGTCGACATGGGTGGCAAGCAGAACACACTCACCCGGTCGCGGCTGTGGCTCCGTCTCCCCCTCCGGCAACCACGCAGCTCCATGGACGATCAGCCCGGACTCAGCCAGCTCATCCTAATCTTCCTGCCGAAGTGAGGATCGGATCCAATCGCCCTGGATCCAACCCAATGGCAGCCCCGACCGCGACGACGACCCCCGATTCGTCTTCTTGCTTTTCGCCGCCCTGTCGCCTTCTTCGCGCATTCCAGCGCCGTCGTCTTTTCCTTCCCCATGGTGGCGAAGCGGCGACGTCGAGAGCGGAGAAGCCAGATGCGGTGGAGAAACAGAGGGGAATGAAGAGGAATGGACACGCACAGTGCAGGCGCCTCGGCCCCGTCACCTTTAAAGACCCACTTCCGAGTGGCTGACGCGTGCGCCTGGGCGGCCCTGTCAAATCCCGCAACAGTCGCACGCGGGGTACATGGCGAAAAAGGTGGCGCGGAGATCGAGGTGCCCCTGTCTATCCGTCCTACTTACCACGGCACGCTCCGCCTCGTGCGCTTCCCCGGAATTTCGAATCCTGTGAAATCCGGGATACGTCGTAACCAATCACGCCAAAGATTTCGCGTAAAAAACAACACTCGACGGATGACGTTATAAATCCAATCGTCAACCTCTGAATCGATCAAGGCTGAAACGAAGCCGAAGTTCCAACATGGGCCTCCGTTCAAACATGAATAGTTGTGAAACACAAGAGTCGAAGCAAGATCAACTTCAACCTTCTTTTCACTCAGACCTCAATCCATTCGGGGGCTAACGATGATGATATAGACCTGGGGTAGGGTCATAGGCCTGACCTATGCGCCCTATCCAAGGTCACTGTCCTAGAAACAAAGAAGCTCAAGAGACAACAGGGAGGGCCCAACAAAGGTGTCGAGTGCAATCCACTCGACTGATCAGCTACTCGGAGACCCCTCCTTCCTGAAGTCGCTCGACCAATCGACCACTCGACCATACAAGAATTCACTCGACCTATTGAAGACCAGGAGTCATCTGAAACGGCAACGGACGAGAGTTCACTCTGTAATCTTTAAGGCCATTAAGGCATTTAAGGCTGGCGTTACCAGTAACGCCCCATCTTTATGTACATTGAACCCTTGGCAACAGGGGAACGGCTGGGGTCTTGGCGTTCACTATATAAGCCGCCCCCTCATCTGGCACAAGGGTTCGCACCCCCTGTAACACACACACACACACACGCATAATCCAGTCGACCGCCTCTGGGCACCGAGACGTAGGGCTATTACTTCCTCAGCGAATGATCTGAACTCGTAAAACTTGTGTGTACAACTTCTCCATAGCTAGAATCTTGCCTCTACATACCTACCTCTCATTCTACTGTCAGTCTTAGATCCACGACAGGCGGATCTATTCTTGGTGGATTTGCTCGGATCTTGTTGTAGTTCGTCTACATTTGTGTGTCTTCGGGTTGAATCCTTCCAATCTACGCTAGTCTTCAATGGCGGCGGTTGCTCTTTGGCTCGCTCTAGGTGCTATACGGATTTGGATGTAATTTTTTTTATTATTTATAGTGTTCGTTGTACCGTCACAATTAAAGATGAATAAATCAAAAGTTTTTTGAAAATATATATATATATATATAATTTCCTCCTGGACTATTCTACCACTCCGTTGTTATATTCTTGAGCTGGCACCCAT